AATTGATTTAATTTGTAAATTAATAAATATTAATTGTTTTATTAGTTATTAGTTAGTGTTATAATTATTAGTTATTTTTATGGTCAAATTATAAAATTAATTTTTTAAAGATAATATTTTACAATTTTAATGACCATAATATTATTATTGGTGGTTATAACTGTACCCCTAATATTGTTCGGACAATGCTATGTGTAGAACAATTTTAAAAAAGTACCATTTCTGTCTTAAAATAGTTCTTTTTTTTAAATTTTTTTCTCCAATTTAAGAATTTAAGTAAATTTATATATTTACTTATATTATTCTTAGAAGAAAGTTAAAATATAAAGTCAAACTTTCTGTAATAGGATAATTAATTAAAGTAAATGGATAATAATATGTTTAAAGTAAGAAAAAAAATATTTATCTATCTTAAAAAATAAAAAAATAACAATTAATTTAAAACAAATTTAAAATAAAAAATAACATTTATTTTGAAACAAATGGAGTAATACAATGGACTTTTGATGTGGGTTTATTTGATACAATGGTTAAAATTTAATAAGAGCTAATAACAAGTTGTAAATAGTGGTGATAAACAGTAAATGGTGGTTAATGGATGATGAATAAAGGGTGGCAGTTAGTAAATGGTGAATTATATATATATATATATATATATAATGAATGTTGATTGATATAAATGTTTAGTTATATAATAGTTAACAAATTATTATTTGATGTTAAATGGCTAATAAAAGTAGATTTAAAATAGTTGAGGGAATTTTTTTCTTTTTATATTTTCTATTATTAAAATTACTAATTATCAATCTAGAGGAGTAATGCAGTCATGTAAATTAACCCATGTTTCTAGTTTTTCTACCAAAAGAACCTTTTTTATTGCTTGTCTTGATATCAGATTTAAGGATCTTAAATTTAGATTGAGATCTATTCAAGACCTGAACTGTGAGAATATTTCCAGGCATCCAGTTGACTCTGGCCGAGGGTTCTTCATGGTTTGGACCCCCACGGAGAAGATCCGTCCAAGTGACAGGACTTCCAAAAGCAGAAACTACCCCCAGGCGAACATCGACATTTGAAGCTCCTACAAAAGGATGAGCATGATCTTACTGTGCCTTTTGGACCAACTAAGCTTTTTCCTTGGTGCAAGATTCTAAAAAGGGGTATGTCGGAATAATCAACTTCAGTGGATGCAATAAAATTTTCAATATGAGAGAAGGTCCAAATGCAAGTACAACAGTGGACACATACTATGAAAAGGAAAATGATGCGTGCACACCGGGTCAATACCTGGATGTGTACACTCCTCATTGAAAAAAAAGTCCATTACCACTCGGTTCAATTTTTTTTTTATGTGGGAGTGTACACTCAGGTTGGATCCAAGTGTGCACCAATTAAGGTCCTCATGAAAATTGACAATTTGGCATCACTAGTAAAGAATTTAACTTGATTTTAGTCTTCAAATTAAAGCAGTGTGATTCATTCCAAAATCATATCATTATATCCCTTAACTAATATAAACGTGCCAAGCAAAAGGAGATTGAAGGGAATTCATACTTGAGTTATGTAGTCTGCAAAGCCACGAGTCTCCTTTACAGAGAAAAGAAAAAGGTCATATTCAACAGAAGATGCTTTATCACCACATACGAAAGTTGACACTGCATTAACAAAAAGAAGGGAAATGCACATGCCAGCCGCAGAAGTCACAAAACCTTGTTAACTGCATTGGTTAGTTTATTAGTCCTCTGTATTCTTGAACTCCTTGACCCGAATCTTTGCATATGAAAGGAAACAATATTTTCAAAACATAATCTTGAGCTGTATAATGCTAAGGCTTTGACCTTTGAGGTTATTATGGTCTATGGGTTTGTTGTTATCTATTATTTTTCAGTGCAATTAATAACATTTTTTAGCACAACTTTTTATTACAAAATAACTATTTGGCATATGGTTATTTTTAATTAACAACTTTTAGCGAAAAAGATTTTATCCTTTTTTGAAGAATTCAATGTAAAAAAACATAAACTCTTATATTAAATGAAGAAAAAAGCATCAACTATAACGTCATAAGATTCTTTAGAGATAAGATGTAATCTTATTTATTAAAAATAAGATATGAGATGTATTCAAAAAAAAAAAATGTAAGAGAAAAGTTTGGACCACTAAACAATAATATAAAACTTTAAACATCTACAATGACCTAATAAAAGATTCTTAAGAGCGCTATATAAGGTCTCTCATAAATTGTAACATGTATCAAACATTTGAAAGAACAGAAAGCCTTACCTGAGATCTCTCCAACATGTCCGAGTAAACACCTCTAAAGAGGAAAGGGAACTTTCCCTTCCTCATCTCAAAAACAAAAAGAGCATGTTTTATAATAATTGTTGTGTTTTTATCTTTCCTTATTTCCACCATAGAGCAAAAGAAGAGTCCCTAAAGGATTCTAGGTAGCAGGGAGGTCACTAGTTTTGCCTGGATATCCATTTCAACCAAAGTGTGGTGTTCAGGGTTAGACAAAGAAAGCTTCTGACTTGATTGAAGGCCAGACTAGAGAACTTTCAAGTATAACTCTATTTTCTTTATTTTATTATGTAGAAGCAATATAGTCATAGAAACAGTTTGTTATTTTTTAATATTAAATTTATTTTAAAAATAGAGAATTATAAGAAAAAAGTATCAGACTTATAATATAAGAAACTCTCATCCCTATTAAACTTAACATACTAATTACACATTAGTTTGTAGTATGAATTATGTGTTGAAAGCCCCAAAAAAATCTTGTATCAAAGCCAAATGAAACTATTGTTATTAATAAAAAAGAATTCAAAGAATTACTGATATTTTATGATTATAAAATAGATTTTATCTCAGAAATAAAAAGAAATAGAGGGAGTAATACCATATAGAACTAATTAGTTGCTTTGGGAAAAGAATATTTATACCATACAAAGATCAGTAGTTAAAGAATAATTAAAAAATTTAGCATTTTAAGCTAAACTAAGAAGGAAAAAAAGCTTGTCTTTTAGCAAAATTAATTTCAATAGCTAAAAGTTCATAAGAGTTATGGTTGAGAGTCAATTTATCTTAATAGAGTAAAACTTTTGTTAGAAAGTTAATGGTTAAAATATTAGCCCAAATTGAAATGACTCTAAAAAATAACAGATGAATTTAAAAATATTCAAAAATAGAAAACCAACTAGAAGAAAAATATAGATGTTAAATTAGGCC